TCCCTATCAAATTACCAATGGCATTTTTCACAGAACTAGAACAAAAAATTTCACAATTCATATAGAAACACAAAAGACCCAGACAGCCAAAGCAGTCTCGAGAAAGAAGAATGGAACTGGAGGAATCAAGCTTCCTGACTTCAGATTATACTACAAAGTTACAGTCATCAAGACAGTATGGTACTGGCACAAAAACAGAAATATAGAGCAATGGAAAAAGAAAGCCCAGAAATAAATCCATACACCTATGGGTACCTTATTTTTGACAAAGGAGGCAAGAATATACAATGGAACAAAGACAGCCTCTTCAATAAATGGTGCTGGGAAAACTGGACAACTACACAGTCAAAGAATGAAATTAGAACACTTCCTAACACCATACACAAAGATAAACTCAAAATGGATTAAAGACATAAATGTAAAACCAGAAACTATAAAACTCTTAGAGGAAAAGATAGGCAGAACACTCAATGACATAAATCAAGCAAGATCCTCTATGACCCACCTCCTAGAGTAATAGAAATAAAAACAAAAGTAAACAAGTGGGACCTGCTTAAACTTAAAAGCTTTTGCACAGCAAAGGAAACTATAAGCAAGGTGAAAAGACAACCCTCAGAATGGGAGATAATAATAGCAAATGAAACATCTGACAAAGGGTTAATTTCCAAAATACACAAGCAGCTCATACAACTCACTGTTAGAAAATCAAACCACCCAATCAAAAAGTAGGAAAAAGACCTAAACAGACATTTCTCCAAAGAAGACATTCAGATGGCTAACAAACACATGAAAAGATGCTCAACATGGCTCATTATTAGAGAAATGCAAATCAAAACTAAAATGAGATATCAGCTCACACTGGTCAGAATGGCTATCATCAAAAAGTCTACACACAATAAATGCTGGAAAGGGTGTGGAGAAAAGGGAATACTCTTGCACTGGTTGGTGGGAATGTAAACTGATACAGTCACTATGGAAGACGTTATGGAAATTCCTTAAAAAACTAGGAATAGAACCACCATATGACCCAGCAATCCCACTCCTAGGTATATACCTTGAGGAAGTCAGGGTTGAAAAAGAAACATGTATCCCACTGTTCACTGCAGCACTATTTACAATAGGTAGAACATGGAAGTAACCTAGATGTCAACTGACAGACGAATGGATCAAGAAGTTGTGGTATATATACACAATAGAATATTACTCAGCCATAAAAAGGAACACATTTGAGTCAGTTTTGATGAGGTGGATGAACCTAGAACCTATTATACAGAGTGAACTGAGTCAGAAAGAGAAAGATAAATATCATATTCTAATGCATATATACAGAATCTAGAAAAATGGCACTGAAGAATTTATTTGCAGGGCAGCAATGGAGAAAGAGACATAGAGAATAGACTTATGGACATGGGGAGAGGGGAGGAGAGGGTGAGATGTCTGGAAAGAGTAACATGGAAACTTACATTACCATGTGTAAAATAGATAGCCATGGGAATTTGCTGCATGACTCAGAAAACTCAAACAGAGGCTCTGTATCAATCTAGAGGGGTAGGGTGGGGAGGGAGACGGGAGGGAGGTTTAAAAGGGAGGGGATATGTGTGTACCTATGGTTGATTCATGTTGAGGTTTGTCAGAAAACAATAAAATTCTGTAAAACAATTATCATTTAATAAAAAAATAAGAAAGAAAGTTTTTTAAAAAGGTGGATTAGGGGTGGGGGGGTGGGGCACAATGGTTGACACAGAAACCAGTCCAGATGGAGGACTATTAAAGCTTGAATTAAGGCAAGAGTACAATGGAGATGTGGCAGCCAGAATAAATGTTACAAGTAGGAAGGGGTGCACAGACATGATGAAGTTTGATTACCAGTCAGCTTGGAAAGGGGCCAGGGATTAGGCATGGGACACAGATGGGCAAACAAGAGGGTGGAGGATAAAATCTGGGGTGGGTTGATAGCTGGATAGTGGTTCTACTCATTGAGAGGAGGAACAGGTTTAGGGAGGGAAGAAAAGTAGGTTCTGATTCAGACATATTGAGTCTGCAATACCTATGAAACTGCTGGTTCTAACGTACAGGTGAGTAAAGTCAGGAGGCCAAAGGGGATGAATGTCTAGGCAGGGTGAGAGATAAATACTTTTATGGGTCAAAGGTACAGGGAAAACAGAAACCAAGTGGGTATGTACAAGATTACTTGGAAAAAGTGAACAAAAACAAAAGACCAACAATAAAAGTTTCCAGCAGGACTGCCAGTATTTAAGTGGTAGGGAATTTCACAGGTTGAGGCTGAGCAGTCATAAAGGTAGAAGCAGAACCTAGAGAATGATGTCATGGAAACCACGCAAGCAGAGCTTTAACACAGGTGAGGTGAACAGTATCAACAGTTGATGGGGTGATGAGGTAAGGATCAAAAAAACCTCCGTTGTTTTTGAGAAATTAGCTGGTTGGTCAAATTTTCACAAGGTCAGACTATAAGGTAAGGATTCTGGAGTTAAACCCTAATAGCCTGGAAGGAGTATACATGGTGGCAAGATTGCTGAATCTCCTTTTTACTCATATCAGGACTGCTCTCTTATCCTATCACTGAAAAAGTTAACAAAAGCTATATAAGTAGTGCAAAGGTAGAAGGTTACAAATAACTGAAAGGATGGCCAGCCCTAAAATGGTAGAGAAAATGAGTCTTCTGTGTGTAAGCTTTTACTTCTTGCTCCAAGAGACGACTGCTAACTTCTAACACCCCATGATCACCCGTCAAACTCCTCCTTTGAGATTCAAGCCAAACACCCCCATGGAGGCTTCACAGCCCCTCCCAGGTAGATTTCACTGGCTCCCCCCGCCCCCCTGCCGCCGTGCTTCCACTGTCCTCTGATCACATTCCAATTATAGTACTTATCACAATGCTCTAATATTATGGTTAATGTGTGAGCAGGAATCATGTGTTCAATTTATGTGCATTATCAGCACTTCAGTGCTTGGACCATAGAAGGCATTTGATTAATGCTTACTGAGTGACTGAATACACTTAAACATTAAAGTGTTTTAAAAACCAACCAAATAAAAAAATGGGCAGAAGACCTAAACAAATAATTATCCAAAGAAGACATACAGATGGTCGACAGGCACATGAAAATATGCTTAGTGTTGCTAATTATCAGAGAAATGCAAATCAAAACTATAATGAGGTACCATCCCACACCAGTCAGAATGGCCATCACTAAAAAGACCACCAACAATAAATGGGGGTGGAGGAAGGGGAACCCTCCTACACTGTTGGTGGGAATATAAACTGTGCAACCACAATGTAAGACAGTATGGAGGGACCTCAAAAAACTAAATACAGAACTGCCATGAAAAGAATACAATAACATCATTTGCAGCAACAAGGATGGACCTAGAAATTATCATACTATACCAAGTAAGAATGATTAAGACAAATACTATATGGCATCATTTATATGTTTAATCTAAAATACAACACAAATGAACTTATCTAAAAAACAGAAACAGACTCACAGACATAGAGGACAAACATCATTACCAGAGAGGAAAAGAGGAGAGGGATAAAGGAGGAGTATGGGCTTCCCTGGTGGTTCAGATGGTAAAGAATCTGCCTGCCGTGCGGGAGGCTCAAGTTTGATCCCTGGGTTGGGAAGATCCCCTGGAGAAGAGAATGGTTACCCACTTCAGTATTCCTGCCTGGAGAATTCCATGGACAGAGGAGCCTGGCAGGCTACAGTCCGTGGGATCACAAAGAGTCAGACACAACTGAGCGACTAATACTTTCACTTTCTTTCATGGGATTAACAGATACAAACTGCTATATGCAAAATACAACAAGGTCCTACTGCATAACACAGGAACTATATTTGATATCTTATAATAACCTATAATGAAAAATAATATATATTTTATATGTATAACTGAATCTCTTTGTTGTACACCAGAAACTAACACACAACCCTATAAATCAACTATACTTCAACTTTGTTTCAAAGTGCTTTCTATATACTCACATTCATATATGTGTTCTTACATTTATGGAAAAGAAGCTTCTGCTGACATCTCTGAGTACAGTTACATGATCAGGAGTATTATTTGGTTTGCCAAAATAACTATTATGATACAAGATTGTAGAATCTCTTTGATGAAACTGAAAATAAAACTAGTCTCCACCCAATCATATTATTAAGCAATTACTCAATACAGCATGTTGGTATAGAAACATGGTCTTATTCCACTTATTTCTCCTTACTGAAGTCCATTTCCTCTATATTAAAAAGAGACCAACATATCAATATTATGACGATTTGGGGCCCTTATGTAAGTTGAGTGTTCCAGCAAAAGCAGCCGAGAAGGGACCAGACCCTAGGACAGTATTGAAGCAGTTCTCCCCGTGAGAGAGCAGGAGGAACTGAGGCAGAATGGGTGGGGTTCACATGGAAATGGACACAAGCCAGCAGGCGCGCGTCACAAGGACAGCGGACCTGCGGGCACAAAAACTGGCTCACGTGGCAGCACTGACACCTACGTTAGACAGCTGCCACAGTACACACACAGAAAGCTTCTAAGTGTCTTCTCTCAGATATTTTACCAGCGGACTGATGGATGGGTCATTAATTTAACACGATCGCCACATGAAAGCAAAGAGAATCATCACTTTTAGAAAAGTAATCAGAAAATCACACTTAACTACTATTCTGGTCACGTATTGAATTCGGCACAGGCAACATCTCCTAACTCATCCATATATGTGGATTTGTTTTTATTCTTCCGAGTGGCAGTCCAGATCAACTATGACCCTCCTCATTTTTATAAATACAATGAGGCAAGTTTTAGCTATTAAACAGTAACAGGTATTCAGAGCCACAGACTGATTCAGAAATTTATAAATCGAAGTAGGAAAGGAGATAAAAATAAATAGGGAAAAGACACAAGTTTATAATTCAAGAGGTATGTTTCTAATTGTTAGGCAATACAGTTAGGACAAGTCATTAGCCACTTACATCTGATTCCCAGTAATAAAGAAAGATTAGGCTCCTTGCCCTGAGCACGCTGATTAAGAATACTACACAATGCCTTCAAGTCAAGCAAACAATAGGACATTTCCTTGAACAGCTGATCAATCACACTCAAATCAAAGAGTGGCCTTTTGGAAAGGATGGTCTGCTGCCTGGACTGTTCTGCTTCCTGGCCCTGATCCAATAAAGAGCAGGTCTCTTCTGTTTGTCTTTGGTTCTGCAGTGGATAAAGAAAACAAAAATCAGGCTGTCAGAACAGAGGAAAGGTACTCAAAAGCCATAAGGGTTGACATTCTCCCATCCAAGTCTATAAACAAAACAGTGAAGTCATATTACACGTACAGTAACCAAATTTAACTGCATACATGCAGTAAGAAAAATAAAAAGAAAGAAAAAGAATTTGAATACTGGAAAGGGTTCCTCTATGCCATCTGATGTCCGAGGGTAAATCTGAGAGACGAAACCTAAATTCCAACAGACTCAGTTTCTAGGGAGTCTCCCAAGGTCTCATATTAAAAGTACCATGGTTGTTATATAATTTGCTATGAGATTTATCCCCAGAATAGAAAGAACTGCAAAGAAAATTGAAACCTCATCCCGTAGTTTTATTGTTAGCAGCAACAGTGATTTACCTAATCTGAAACTATTTTTTGTACATTGAGAAAAAATAATATATGTTACAGTGTTGCTAGGAACCAATTTTTTCAGTGTTAAGAGGAAAAGAAATAAAAAGTATAAAATCAAAGATGAAGAAAAAAGCCCAAACAACTTTCAATTGTTAAATCTGAATTAGAAGTATCAGTATGAGCTCATGATTTATTATGCTCAGAAAAAGCTACACTCACTTCTTCTCCAAATTACCACAACTTATTCCTCATCCTGAAAATTACTAATTAAAGGTAAGTTTGACTAACTTTCTAGGTGGTACTGGAAATTTCAGAAAAGTCAAATAGCCTGGGTTGATGAGGAAAATACAATTTTTTATAGAAGAATGCCAGCTAATAACTGTAAAAGGAATGATATAAAAATTACTCTCTTAATTGTCTAATGATTCAGATGATGATCATTGGTGGATGTTAAAACTATCAAGGGAAAGGGTGCTGGCATACTGGATATTCACACACTTGCCTAAGTATCAACCCCACAGATCTGCTGATTGCAGAGGCTAGTGTTACAGTGGAAAGAATCAGTCTGTCACCACCTCAATCCAGTGAGACTGGTATTTGTGACACTTACAGTGGGATAAGCAAACACATATAATTTGATGATGTGAAAAATACTTACAAAGTATTCATGCCAAAAAATGTTTGCAATGAGTCTAATATCCTTAGCTTTAACTTCTAGCTTACAAGAAATACAGGGGTAGAGAACAAGATAAACGACACCATGAGGAAGCAATCCGACAAATCCAGTTATAACAAATCTGAGTCTATAAGACAAAAGGCCTGATTTTGTTAAGAAGAAAAGAACTTTAGGTTTAAAAAGCAAAATGAAACACAACACACAGTCTGAATTGAATACTGGTTTTAATATTTGGGGAAGAAAGGCGGAAATTTTTCTAAGACAGGTAATACCAAACAGTAATACCAAAATTATTATTCTTATATGGTGGGACAATGCTGAAATGGCACTGTCCCTAATTTTTGGAGATGTATTTCTAAGTATTTAGAGGAAAATGTCATGATGACAGCTCAAAAACTAAAATAAGTACTTTTTAATGTAACATGTCCTTAAATGCAAGCCAAATATTAATATTTCATCTCATAATTAAATGAAGAAAGTGATCTGTTCCAGAGATGAAGTGTCTACATTGTACCTTCCTTAAGGATTTTCAAGGGTAACTTTGTTTATATTCAATTTATGCATCATTTCATGAGTTGGGATCTAATCTCTATGTAACAGCTGACTTTGCTGTATTTAAGTGTATGAAATTGTTTCTAAGACAATACAAAACTAAAAGCTTGTATTTTTATTATAATCTTATTAAGAAATCTAATGAATTTAATTAACTGGCACAACAAAATCAAGTCTTCAATTAAAAAATGATTTACGAATATGTACAAAACAGGCATTTCCTTTAACTTAAATAGGTACTGATTCATCCTTGAAAGCAATCTGAGTTTCTTCTACTCACATCAAGCAATGTTCTTAATCTCTGAAGGTTTCTTTCTTTCTTCTCCAGCTCTTCCATCATCTTTTGAGTAGTCAATTTTTCTTTAGAAAGTTTCCCTTGCATAGACTACGATAAAGAGAATTAGAAAGCAAAACATGTTAATGCTTAAAGCATAATGCAATTAGGTAGGCAACCAGGAATACTGGCTCTGAACACTTTAGATGTCCTGACTTCCCCAATCCCTTGGAAAATGAGGCCTCCACTGCTCAATTAACTCATATTACTTCCAGAGTGGATAGTTCCAAAGAGTGGGGGAGTGGAGAGGAAGGAAAAATATCATCTTTACCAAGTAAGTTTTAATTCTTGTTAAAACATGTTAAATTTAAAGGTGCAGTTTAATGCCATATTACAGTTTTTATTTTACTGATTCTCATTTATATACTGGGAGTGTATTAGCAAGTCTATACTTAAAAAATTGAGCAGGAAGGAATCCGTCTGCAATGCAGGAGATGTGGGCTTGATCCCTGGGTTGGGAAGATCCGCTAGAGGAGGAAATGACAACCCACTCCAGTATTCTTACCTAAAAAATCCCAAGGACTGAGGAGCTTGGCAGGCTACAGTCCCTGGGGTCTCAAAGAGTCAGAAATGACTGAAGCAACTATGCATGGCACAACATACTTAAAAAAAAAAAAACCAACCTTTTTCTTATGATTAATAAACTACAAGATAATAAGATCTTAAGACTATTTCTGTTTTCTATTATTTGAAACATAGCTAAACACCCCCTCTTGGTGTACAATATTCCCGGCAGTAAATATAATGTTGAATTCAAGCCAAAGGTCTATTATGGGGTCTAGATAAACTAATCTCTCTCTTAACTGCATTATAAAATTATAAATTAACCAAACATGACACTATTGTGAGAAAATCTTGAGTATACCAAAGCAGAATATAGGATATTTTAAGAGCTCTTGGGTTATTTCAGCAACATACCACAGAAGAACTTGTTATAAACCTTGTACTTATCAGTGACTTTTTTCTATCAACTTTTCTCCTTTTAAACCACAAGATCAATAAATATGACTAGAGAAGAGATTTCATTTTTTTTCCCTTCAGGTCTGTATTTAGTCTCAACACTGAAAATACTTCAGAATGTTGACCACCTAATTAGCACACAACCTACTTTTTCCCCCCTCACATTATCTCTGGATGGAATAAGAGAGGATGGTTGTCACCAGTGGTGAGATAAGACTCTAAATATAAAACGGTTTTCTCAGTAACACAGTATCTAACCTTTTTGCTTTTATTTCATTTGTCTGCTAAACTCTGTAAAAATATTATATTTAGTAATTCAAAAGGTGGATACAAATGAATCAAGCTTTATAACAAGTACATTTTATTTCAAGGAAAAACTTGCTTTATATTCCACAAAAATGAGCTCCACAGCACAAAGTCACATGGGCTATTTGAGAATACATATTTTTGGGTAGTGAAATTCCTTTGTAAGTGCACTTGACTGAATCAAAATCCATTTGATTGAATGATATGTTGGGATTTATTTACCAAGCCAAAACCCGATACTTACTGGCATGACAAGATTACTTGGCTGGAATCCAGAATTCATCCAAAATTTTCTTAAGATTTATGACTTTATTTTATTAATATTTTAAAGAAAGGCATTACAAATAAACTACTCTAAATCTCATTTTAACAATGAAAACTGAACCCCAAAGAGGTATTTTCATAATGGTGTAAAACAATTCTTTAAAAGACTATATAGCTTTTTATTTTTATCATGTTGAATGTGACTAATAATTACCTAGTAAATTTGATTAATGTGTTACCACATAAAACTAAATTTAAATCAGTGAAGAAAAAGGCAATCTTCTTCACCAGAATAAATTAGAAATGTTTGGCACTGGTGCTGTTTGTCATAAGAAGGAAAATTGAATTTGGGAACAATATTAGTATCAAGCTTAACATGTCATGTTGGTTGGGTTCAAAGGCACTAGCCAAGTGGCCCTTTAACAGAGTAAAGAGTTCACAGATACACTTATTCTAATAAGACCAAATGCTGTACTACTTATAGGATATTAGGTGTGAGTGCTATAGCTGCCTAACAGTTAACATTTCAGCTAAAAGATTACTTCTCTATTTCAAACTACATGAAAAAGCATATGTTTAAGAAAAAATCAAGGGCAGGGGAATTTCAGCTAAGCTTAGAATAGAATTATTGAAGTTAACAATAAATTAATTTCTCTTTAAATAACAATTTAAAAATAACAATTTCTCTAAAAATAACAATTTCTCTTTAAATTTCTTGTTTAATAATGACTTAAGTCTGAGTTACAAATCTAAACAGGTATGTATCACAATCATTCCTGGAGTTGAATGTAGTTTTTAAATTCATTTGTTATTAATATTTTGATTTAAATATCCAGAAATGCTAACCTTTTTTTTTTTTTTTTTTGCCCTAAATACAGATAGCCCAAATGAAGAAAAACCAAATGTGCCTTACTCAATGTATTCTACATACTTCACAAACCTAATTTAGGACAGAATATTTTGAAAGAATCTTATATCAGCAGTTTTGCTATATAAACACACACAAGTAACCAACCCCACACTTCACCCAATCCCACACACAAGAGCTTCACAAATACATTCTTTCACATAATCATTCATTTAGCAAAAATATATCCACATCAGTGAACAAAACAAAAACACTTGGTCCTTGTGGAACTTGTACTAGGAGGAAAAAGGCCAAGAAAATAAACATAATAAATATGTAAGTTATGTAGTATCACATATGAGAATTTGCCCAGTGCTTTGGAGAACAGACAGTGTGGTGATGGAGGGTGGGGTGGAATCTCAAATGCGATAGAGTAAGGGCTCATGGAAAGGATGACATCTGAGCAAAGTCCTGAAGGAGGTGAGAGACTGTCCCACAGGTAACTAGAGAGTATATTTCAGGCAGTGCAAAGGTTCTGAGGCAGATGGGTGTCTCTTCTGTGTGAGAAATAGCAAAGAGAGCTAGGATGGATGACAGAACACAGTAAGAGATAAAGTCATTATAAAGCTTTTGAAATAAATGTATCAGGGGAAAAAAAGGCATTTTATTCCTCTCAAGCAGCTAATAATGCCACCATATAGAAGAGTGCAATGTACTAAAAAATTTCACTTTCGGGACAAAATTGCCAAATTGCACTTCGAGGTAACTGAGTATAAGGTGCTTTCCACAGGAGATCAGTTTCCCAACGTACTCCAGCTTAACTATTTTTCATTCCAGGAAAACCCCTTAAAACAATTCTCTCCCCTATGGCTTATATTAATATAAGAAACAAATCAGACTAACTTTTTATTTTTCACTTTGAGGCAGCCAGGATTAATGCCCAAGGCACAAACTCTGAGGTCAGACAGACATGACTTAGAATCTCAGCTGAGACTTTGGGCACACCTTTCAAAATCTCAGAAACTTCATGTATAAAAATACACTTTCTTACTTTGTACAATTACTGTTGAGGTCTAGGGATACTAAACATAAACCAGAAAGAACCATTCCTGTAACATATAATATCATCACCCAGAACCATCACTGACACCTCTTCATTTGGCAACAGACGTTCCATTTCTCACTTTGGTCTAAGTGTGGACAAATATTAAATCACTTTCCCTCATTCTTCCATACTGATAAAAGAGCATTTCCAAAGTATTTTAAAACTAAGCTACAAATAAGGAATATGCAAGCCCCATAAAAATCGCATTTCTTAAGGTTTCTATTTAATAATAAAGATAGTGTCCAGCTCAGATTCCTTTAACTATCATCTTGCTACTTGATGTAACATTACAAACCATCTGCCTGAGAGTTCTGCTTTTAGCATGATGACATGAAGAGCTGCTCAGAAATGGTCCCCAAGGAAACTGGTAAAAAATCATTTAAGTGTATAAATCCTTTTAATGAGAACACTTTTTAATGTGTTTGAAAAAAACAAGTAAACCTTTTTACTTTGTATGTCCTCTGCCAAAAGATTATTATGGTAACATAAAATGCTAAGATTTCACTGGAAACAAAGTTACATGGGTGAAATGTACTTTTGAGAAATAAACAGGAAGGAAGGTAATAATGTCCAAAGAAGAACTCATTCACACTCAGACTGTAGCCAGGTTTATGGAAATTATGGGAAACATTCTACTGTAAAACGTCTTTTCTATTGTACACTGACAGAAGAAGAACCTTTTAAGAGAAGCCAGTTTAGCTACACTGGTTTCATGGATAAAAGTATTTCTAAAGGATCAACTAGTAATCAAGGTATTGTGCCAGTTAACATTATTACCTTGACAGGTGAACAAAACAGATACATCTGCATTTTTATAGCATTGAATTTCAAAATAAGTATACACTTTTACCTGAAGTAAAACCTTTTTTATATTCAACAATGAATACATTATAATTGGTAGAAGACTTGAGTTCTCCCCAAGCTTCAAAGTTGTGAATCAATAAACTTGTCACTGACCTAAATCAGTATTTGTTTGACTTCTGATACACAGCACCTTAGAATTGATGCTTTTGAAATGTGGTGTTGGAGAAGACTCTTGAGAGTCCTTTGGACTGCAAGGAGATCCAACCAGTCAATCCTAAAGGAAATCTGTCCTGAATATTCAATGGAAGGACTGAAGCTGAAGCTGAAACTCCAGTACCCTCGCCACCTGTGCGAAGAACCGACTCATTGGAAAAGACCCCGATGCTGGGGAAGATTGAAGGCAGGAGGAGAAGAGGGCGACAGACGATGAGATGGTTGGATGGCATCACTGACTCAATGGACAAACTCGATGGAGTTTGAGCAAGCTCCGGGAGCTGGTGATGGACAGGGAAGCTTGGTGTGCTGCAGTCCATGGGGTTGCAAAGAGTCAGACACGACTGAGCGACTGAGCTGAACTGAACACATCTTAGCCACCAAAATTTCAATGCAAAGGACAAAGCTGACTGTCCTTAATTTGCACTGAGATAGTTTTTATTAGATTTACTTTTCTGGAAAATGTTACCACATAAAATAGAAATTCCTTTCATTGTGGTTCATGATAAGAAGTTAGATAATGGCTGAGGAAACCAACCATCTCTCGGTTTGAATGGCTTATAGAACAACTGAAGGAATAAACATTAAAAAGTATAACCTCTGTGAATCATTCCAATAAATCCACATACTTGCTGAACTGGACTAGTATTTGATCACACTGATAGATCACTTAACACGGTCAAAAGACAAAGCAGACTGTCCATAAATTCTGACACTGTTTTAAACCACTTATGTGATTCTTATTTCCAGCTTTGAGAATACTCCAATCAGGAGATATAAAAATAAAAATGTATTCAGCATAACTTGTCCAATGGTTTCCTATCACCTGAAGAATAAAATACGTAGACATAATATCCCCTTGTGTGATCTGGCCCCAGGCTACTTTCCCCCACCCTGTCAACTCTTGCTGGGTCTCACGAGCAGGGCTCTCCACACCAGCCGCCTTCCTGCTCGTCGGGGAGAACACTCGGGGCACAGCCACACTCAGGGCACTGGCTGCTCTCTCTGCCTGGAATGTTCCTCCCCTGGTTAACTCCATGCAAATCTACATCCAAATGTGACTTACTAGGGGAAAATTTCATGGCCACTGTATCTAATGCAACATGACCTGTCATTGCCCTCTATCCCTTTTTTGTTTGTTTTAAAATAATAGCACATATTTCTACTTGGGGCTTCCCTGGTGGCTCAGTTGGTAAAGAATCCGCCTGCAACACGGGAGACGTGGGTTCAAACCCTGGGCTGGGAAGATCCCCTGGAGAAGGGAACGGCTACCTACTCCAGTATTCTGGCCTGGAGAATTCCATGGACTGGATAGTCCATGGGATCACAAAGAGTTGGACACAACTGAGAGACTTTCACTTCACTTCTCTACTTGGCATTATACTTCCATTTCTCCAACTCACCCCACTAAAACGGCCAGGGACTTGCTTTGTTCACTGATGAACCTCCGGTGCTAAGAACAGCACCTGGCAAAAATGCAGGGGCTCAGTAAATATTTGGCAAATCAATAAAAGAATGAAAATCCACTTAATCTACTAATTTTGGTTTGTATTATGGGTCAGACACCCTAAGCTCTAGATAGTAGGTGATCTACATTAGTCTCCACACTATGAAGAAAAGGAGGAGGAGAACAGACACAAATATGCACAGTGTTATACTTTGATAATACAGAAAAATAACATATAGAATTAGTAGGAGGGGAGGGGTTCTTGCTCAGTCACAATGAACTAAAAACAGTCCATTGTCTATAAGTAGTATATCATTGATGATCTTATTCAAATGTGTTCTCAGTAGTAGAGATACACTACACCCAGTTGAAAAGAGGCAAGGTAAGGAACAGAGAACCATTTTTTGAAGAAATGATTTACCAAGAATCATTTTCATTCTAAAAAACTGAAAGATTAATATTAAAGAATTTATCATTTTCATCTCAAGTGTTATGAATATTTTTAAAGAAAACATATGCTTTAATATTTTTAGATTTGTAACTGAGCATACAGCTAGGTTAAAAATGTGTAAATATTCCTTACCTGAATTTCCAAAATCATCCTATTAATCTCATCTTGTTGGCTATCTATTATCTAGAACATAGGAAATATATCAATCAATTTTTTTCCATTGCTTTTTTAGAACTACTAAATTTCAAGAAAACAAAAGCACACAGCATCATGAATTTTTTTTAAAAAATCAAAATGTGACTTTTTTTTTTTTTACAAAAGTATTTATACAAAGTATCCTTTAAATAGCCATATGATTTGGATCATACAGATAAAAAACTGCAAATGCCTTACTCTAGTTCGTGATAAACCTTTAATCTTTACATTTTATAAAAACAAATTTGAGGAACTTCCCTGATGGTCTAGTGGCTAAAACTCTGTGCTCCCAATGCAGGGGAGCTGGTTTTGATCCCTGGTCAGGGAACTAGATACCACCCCAACCAAGAGTTTGATGCCACACCTAAGGATCCTGTGAGCCACAAATAAGACCCGGCGCAACCAAATAAATAAATATTTAAAAAAAACAGTAAGTTTGAAACAGATTTTGAATAATTTAGGAAAGAAAAAGATATCCTTTTGTTTTTGCTAAGAAATAACATAACTTATTTAGTTTGGATTTAATTTAAAGTTACTTAAATTGTTATTTTCTTTCCTAATAAAGACATTCAAACTAAAAATTCTGTAAAAGCTGCTAAATATTAGTAAAAATATAAATCAAATAAAGTAAATAAGTTATATATACACACATATATCTACAGATTTCACTATCAAAGTTCACTACTAAAGATATGTACTGACCTTATTGGCATTCTCATTTTGTTCTCTCAAGTTATCATTTTCATTCTGAAGCTGTTTTGCATCTAACATGGGAAGGCGAATTCCATCTTCAAGGCATCTTTCTACTTTTTGCTGCAAACTGTTTTAGAGAGACATAATTATATGAAGAAAATAAGCTCTATGTGCTGATTTTGGTAGATGACTTCAACATAAATGAAGTCTCTTCTTAGGGTCTATAACATATTTTAAGTAAGCAATAATAACCTACAGAGAGTAGATGAGTAAGTTCGAGTACTTACATTTCTTACAAGTAAAAAATATAATGGAGGTAGATCATCTTTTCAGAAAGAGCAAATGTGAGACTACATTCGCTTAGTATGTGAAATCCTTCATGACCCTAATCTGAACTCTGCAATCCGAACTCTGTTCTTTCCCTTCTTCCCAAAAGGCGAGTTCCTTGATTAAGGAATGTGGTAGAGAGTTCCTTGACTGTGGTAGAGAGCCTAAGAATATGGATATATGTCTTTTGCCCTTCATTTTTAGTTCAGCAAAAGTTTGTTCATAAAGATATCTGTTACCTAACCAGCAGAATTACATTTCTCCTTCATGAATGAGAGCAACAATCCAGTTCCTTTTTACAATACTGCATTTCTATCAACAGCTTTTTTTAACTTCCTTCAGCATTCTTATTAACTTCATTCTGAACCTGGGAAGTAGTAGACTAGAAAGGTCAGGTTCATTGTTTATTCCTTTAGGGAATTCTCTCAATCTTTTAATTGGGAGCAGTTCATTTGCTTCTGCATTTTACTCATATTTCTCTAACTGTATGAGTTTAGGAGAAACAGTTACCTAGAGGTCTTGAAGGGCTGTTTTGTGGGAGTATCTCTGTGTAGTCTGTCTGAATATAATTTTTTTTGACGCAAGGGCTGTCTTTAGTGTGGATTCCTGCCACGTCTTTCCTCAGTGTGTGTTGGCCCAACGGGTATGATCGGTGTTGTAATGACCAGAATCTGTACTGAATGTTGAGTGGGGCCTCCTCTTTGAAAAGCAATAATCTTATACATTTATTATGTGACATAACAGTTCCTCATGCTATGCTTGGCACAGAGTTGCATTTATGAGGAAACAATAAAAGGAAGCCCCTCTGGTATATTAAGAAAAAAAGATAAGGGGTGGGGGGAGGTGTCAGCTTTGAGAAAGGAAGAGTAGTATTGTTTAGGTTAAAAGAAACTATGCCATTAACAACAACGACCCAAACCAAAACAAAACAGCAAGACACCTAGAAATAGTTTTACTTTAGCATGTAGTCATATTCAAGAGTTGCAGCCTACTAAAAGAAACAGAATTCCTTTAATGTGGATTTTCATATTTTCATTATTTTCGTCTTTCAACTATTATGGCTGTCATGTTTTGTCTCCTCTTCCACATCCCTCAAAAAGAAGAAATACCATACACAGAATTGACAGTCCGAAATAGTACAATGAGGTATTCAGATGTGTTCATAAATAATGGCACCAGAGAAGTTTTCACATATAACAAATACACTGTATGGCTTTGTAATATACTGTTACTTGTCATAAAAGTATCTGCTTCTTCAGTCTAAGAGTGAAAAAATATGTTATTTATCTCAGAATGTTTTTGTCCCAATTCAGAGTTAAGATACCATTTCTATGTATTTATTATAAACATTTCAAGAAAAATAAATTACATCAAAACTATTAAGGCTTTTCATTAAAAAGAAAACAAGAGTCAGTAATGTAGAAGGAAAAATGTACTCTGTCATGTAAAAATATCAAAAAAGTATTCCTTCATGTACACATTCTCATTTTGTTTGTTATAAAGCATGCTTACTTAGAAAAGTAATAAATCTTTTGAGCAGCAAAGGTACCAACTACTGCATTACTATGAATTCCTTCCACATATTTCACTTAGATTTCATTTCTAAATGAAAAACTTTTGCCTCATTTTTAAATCCCAAAAGTTCTTACATATTCACAAAACAGGAAACTTGGGAATAGTATATAAAAGCAGATCAATGTAATGATATAATTTATAGTCACATGCTGCTGCTAAGTCACTTCAGTTGTGTCCGATCTGTGTGACCCCTTAGACAGCAGCCCACCAGGCTCCGCCATCCCTGGGATTCTCCAGGCAAGAACACTGGAGTGGGTTGCCATTTCCTTCTCCAATGCATGAAAGTGAAAAGTGAAAGTGAAGTCGCTCAGTCGTGTGCAACTCTTCGGGACCCCATGGACTGCAGCCCACCAGGCTCCTCTGCCCATGGGATTTTCCAGGCAAGAGTGCTGAAGTGGGTTGCCATTGCCTTCTCCTATAGTCACATAATACATCTTAAATTCTTCTGAAACTTAAGGAATACCAACTACATCATATAGTTGAGGAAACTGAAATAACATTTCTACCCCCAAAGTCAGCTGACACTATAGGCATACAAGCGCTGAAGAATTTTAGAGCACCTTCTCTGGTCTTATGTTTATTAGAAATCAAGAGAAATTTCCTGAGATGATGTCATCTCAGGATCAAGAAACTGAAGATATGGAAAATGAATTCTGTAATGCACTAAACTAAATCTTTCCAAATCAAGAATACCAAGCTCAATGTTCTCCAAAAGCATAATAAAAGAGAAAATCAAAATAAAAGAGAAGGTATAAAATCATATTAAATATGTAAAAGCACACAATGGAACAAAACAAACATTCAAATTATTTTCAGGTGTCCCTAGTTCTACTCATAAAAACATAGCTTGAGTTTATGATTGTAACACTCTATAAAACAACAAATGCATTATCCCTTGGCCTTTTGTCCTAAGATTAAAGAAAGATACATGGTTGAATTAACAGAGGTCAGGAAGCTGTTTTGAGACTAGAGAATAGGATATAAGATGTGGAGTGATAAAAAGAAATTTAAGATCAATAAAGCAGAAAACAGGAGAAAAATAAAGGTAGAGTCAAAGGTGTATGGACTTTTTTGAAGCTGAGATTAGAGATACTGAGGACTGAATTGTCCTAGAAATCAGAGGTTTTCTGCACTGAAATCCAAGGGGAAAATGTAGACCAGACATACTTAAGACTTAGAAAATAGTAGTAAAGCAATATTAACATAGAATTACCTGAAGGATTTTGACTAAAAAAGTTATGTTGAGTTATATATAATTGATACAAGCATTAAGAGTGTCTTAAATTCAGTTTTTTGTTGCTTTGTTGTTTTCCTCTTTAGGATAGTTTTCCTACTAACAGTTGATCATCTATTAAGGTTTTTTAAGTTCTAAAAAACAGAGTATATGTTGATGAATATACGGCCTAGTTTTCTAGGTTTTCAGGAATCCAGTATCAATTTTCATTTACATTAACAAAATATACAAGCAAATAATATGCACTGCAGTCCTAACTGATTAAATTAGAAGAGTCCTGTGAGCTGAGAGAAATGTGAGAAAACTTGGAAGGTATCTGGCAAAGAGCCACATCTGTTAGTCCGCAATCAGGTGAAATGGGACCAGTTAGGACGCTCTGACAGGTCCCAGTAGGGAGTGCAGTCCAGCTGCTCCTCTTTTTGTTATTTAGAACTTTTACGTATTCTCTGACAAAGTCGTTAGATAAAGGGTTTGTGTTAATGCTTCCTGTTTTCAATTGGTGTCTTTTAAAAAAACTATTCTCATCTAAACTCATCTAAAACCAAGATGTCAGTACACTGGATCAAATAAATTGCAACTGAGACAAACTGTTTTGATGACATAATACATTTAGTTATCAACAGTACATCTTTAAGAAAAATAACAGCACTAATTATAAATTAACTCATTTTAAGTAAAAATACTCTTTGAAAAATAAAGAATAAACTAAAAATAACATAAAAGGATTACTGAGGGTTTCTTACCTTTGAACTGTAGTTACCAACTCCTTTTCTTTCTTTTTCTGGCATATGAGCTGTGCCTCTTTTTCTTGATACTGTTTTTTGAACTCTTCAAGCTTTTTTTCCACATCTATCAAAGTCTCTTGCAAATTCTTATTTTTTTCTTCTAGAACTTGAAGCTAAAGAGAAATTTTTTAAAAGTTCATAACACAAAGAATATTAAATGTGTTCCACTAGAAATCAATACCAGGCTCTCAAGAATTAGTAGACTGATTATTAAAATCACACTAACTTCATCTCATGTATAGAACTTAACACATGATCTCTTCCTTTGCATAAAAGGGAGCTGAGAGAATGGGATTATGGAGAAGAGGCAAATACAGTCAGAAATTTCTGGAAGCCATAGAGAGGAAGGTGAATAATCTCAGTTTATGGGTATAATTCTATTTTTAATTGTGGCAAAATATACATAATATAAAATCTACCATCTTAATAACCATTTTTAAATGTATAATTCAGTAGAGTTCAGTACATTCACATTGTCATAAACTAATCACCAGAACTCTCTTCATCTTGCAAAACAAACTTTCTACCCACTAACAACTCTCCATCTACATCTCCCCTCAACCCCTGGCAATCACCCTTTGACTTTCTATCTCTAAGTTTCTATGAATTCAATTACTTTAGGTACCTCATACCTATTTTCTCTGATTCATTTATCTTTAATCTATTTATCTTTGTGATTGGTTTATTTCACTTAGCAAATGGCCACAGGTTCACCCATGTTGCAGTATATGTAAGAAAGTTGTTCCTTTTTAAGGTTATAATGTATGTATACATCACAGTTTGTTCATCCATTCGTCCACGGATGGACACTTGAGCTGCCTCTACATTTTGGCTATTGGAAATAACGCTGTTATGAACGCACATTGTGAATAAACATCTGTTTGAGACTCTGCTTTCCATTATTTTTAATATACACCCAGAAGCAGAATTAATGGAGCACATAGTAATCCTGTTTTTACTATTTTTGAGGACTCTCATATGGTTTACAATAGTGGCTGCACCATACTACATTCCCACCAACAGTGCATGAGGAATTAGAATTTCTCCACATCACCACCAATGCTTGTTCCTTTCTGTTTTTTAGACAATTAGCCTCCTAATGGGTATAATGTGGTATGAACACACATTTTAAAATCTATAGTCCTCTCTGTTCCTGCTCAAACCCTTGTGGGTCCTTCTTTAGTTCCTTCATGTTATCACTCTCTCTTAGTTTTACAACTTATAAATTAATGTAAACAGAGAATGTGCTGTAGGTCTAAAGTCTACAGAATAACGATATACCATGGATTAGATCAAAGATCTCATCCCTCCACTCCCTGCAGGAGACATCTGGAAAGTCTGTAGACATTTTTGCTTTAGTGGGAAGAGAAGGAGCAGTGCTACCGGCATCCAGTAGACAGAGGCCAGAAATGTTGTTAAGCATCCTTTAATGCTCAGGATAGAGTCAAACAACAAAAAATTACTTGCCCTCAAATATCAATAGTATGGAGACTGAAAATCCCATGATCAGAAAGACTTTAAGACTAAAGAGTAGGTTTAATGGATTACTCTAAATCTGTAGCATTTACAAATAAGGTCTCATGAGGAAAGGCCTTACCAGAGTTGGTAAAAGGACTTTGGATGAGATATTGCTAAGAAAGGAAAACAGTCAGAAGTCAGAGGAGTGAATGGAGGTCATAGATTAAAGTATAAGAAAGAATTTATGGAAAGATTAAGAAGAATGATGAAAACAAGACAAATATCTAGAAAGACAGTCCAGAAAGGTCTTGTTAAGCCTCGGTGGTTTCCAGAGAATACTGGGAAAAGTCAGAACTGAGGTGCATGTGGTGTGTGCATGGAGTGGGGTGTCAGTGGTTTAGAAACTATCTTTTAGAGTAGAACAGTGAGAGAGTTAAGACACAGATTCATTAGGCAGGAAACCACATATTAATTAAGAAAAAGAAAGATCTATTCATGCTTAAATGAACAAAGTTTCTAATTAAAGTTAATCCTAAAAACAGCAATTAAGCACACAGATTTAACTTACAATTAGCCAAATATACAACCAAAAATTTTAATTATAAAAATTTACAAAATGAATGAAAAACTACAAATTTCAGATGTCAAAAGAGTAAATTCAAAAAAGAATGTGTTTCCTGCCATTTAAAGATCAGCATTTTATTTCATGTTACCTGTAGACTCTGACTCTGCACATCATCAAGAGTTGGAAGATCAGCCAGATACTTTTCCAAGGTCTCAATTCTTCTCTGCTTTTCTTTATTCTGTTCAGACTCCTTCTGGCATTTCTTTTTCAAGCTACTGATGTATCTATCTCTGGTTTTAAGCTAAAGAAAAAGATTAAGAATCTTTAGTGGTTTTGTGTCAAAAAATAATCATCTTATTATTAATATATAAACATCCTAATCTTAGACATCACCGAATTCGCCAACAGTTCCAGATATAGCTAACATCACTTCCAACTTACGTATGAGTTACTTTATTTCATAAATTCTAAGATTCACATTTTTGCAAATTCTCTTATCACTGAAATTAAGAGTTTGGGAATTTTTTATTTGCTTTACAAGTGATGATGTTCTATAAACTGCAGTCAGCCAGGCTGCAGGAATGATATAGTTTTTATTGTCTGCACATGTGCAAATCTGGTCAAGACTATTCATATCTTTTCATTTCAACAGTATTATGTACAAGTTGAAAGAGTGCTAAGTTTAAATGGCATTTAAAATACTTTCAAAATGTTACATTATAGTTTGGCATTGAAAAACTAATTTTATATAGTCTGGCATTGAAAAACCAATTTATTTTGGCATTGTTTCTGTCTTGGTACCCAGAAAGACAGAAACAGTTTCAGGGTATAATTCTGAAATCAGTGTAGCAAGTATTCATCTCTGGAATGATGACTTTAATTTATTTCTTGCAAAGTTATGTGCAATGTTTTATGTGAATTAAGAAAAGAAGATATCTATAAGTAATTAAAGCTGTTTTTGTTACTTACAGACAAAGGAATTGCTTATCGTGTACCAAATAAAGCAATGCAATCAAAGCCAGGACACTTACCAAAATGATCAAATACTTAAGAAAAATAATGGGAATAGTGAGAGTAATCCACAGCTCAAGCAAGGCTGTTGTTAAAGCACTGTGTCAAACTGAACCTGCAGCGTATCTTCCTTCTAAGAATTATATAAAATAAAAACGTACCTTATCATTAATGCCACCCTAGGACTGATGAAATACATTAACTGAACACCTACTAGAGAACATATACAATTCATAATACTAGTAAATCCCAATTTGTACAGGTTGAACCTCAGATTTTTATGTGTTATTTGTTTTTGCCTTTCCACCTAAAATATACAAATCTTTAGATTCTGTAGAGATACTACTGCTACAGCTCTTTCATACTCAAGCATATACAAATACAAATAGTTGCCTAAAAAGTAAACTCTAGACTATGTTTACTTTAAATTGCCTGTCTTTCAGACATTTAATATTATTTCACAAGCTTACAGGGTTCTAAAATAACTTTATAGCCTTTTCTCATACTCACCATGGACATAAGTAGTAATTAGTAGTATAACGGATTACTCCTCCAAATTTTATAAAAGCTAATGCTTGGTCACAATCTAGTTTCTTTTGTGTTTTATCTAATTTCTTCCAGGTCCAGTGTATAACAACTTTTATTAAAATAATTTCAATTAGAAAAACACATCACATCTTATTTCATCTATTTATTCCATTAATAAAATTAGGATCCACTTAGTTCTTTGGGTAAGGAGCAACACTGGTAAAACAGACAAATCCTAATATGTGCTGGGGCTTTCTTAGGTCTAAAATCAAGGTGCTGGTGTGACAATTTAACTTGTTCTCTACCAGAACTTACGGACACTGGCACTGGTTGTGCCCTGAAAAGACCACACAATCCTGTTTTTGTCTTAGCAAACGACCCTGTAAGTTACATAACTAACCAGTCCACTTTTACTGCATGCTCCCTAATTTACACTTAATTGTTTAGCTGTCTTAAACGTGACATAACTGCGACCTCAGAAAGGAGCCACTAGAGTAACTTAGTCACGCTGTCGTCTACCACGCAAAGGCGTCCTAGGCACCTTCTTTTTCTCTGGTTAGTCAACTCTCTGCTTCATGTCAAGCTTGCTGCTCTGGATCACAGATCTTGGCCAACACTTGATCAAACATCATCTCTGTTATCTGTGACCACAAGCAGTTGATCACACATAATTATTGGATCTAGTTTTCTTGTTTTTCTTTATCCTGCTGACTGATGAGAAGTTCTCTATTTTCTGGTTTTTGTTTAACTTCCAAGTTTTGTGTTTCAGATTAATAGAGGTCACTGAATTTTGAACTCCAGTAATTACCTACGGGTAAATGAATTGATGCTTTCAAACTGCTGGGCTGAAGAAGACTCTCCAGAGTCCCTTGGATTGCAAGATCAAACTAGTCAATCCTAAAGGAAACCAATCCTGAATATTCAAATAATTGGACAGCACTGAAGCTGAAGCTCCAGAATTTTGGCCACCTGAGGCAAAGAGCTGACTCACTGGAAAAGACCCTGATGCTGGGACAGATTGAAGGCAGGGGGAGAAGGGGACAACAGATGAGAGGGTTGGATGGCATCACTAACTCAGTGGACGTCAGTTTGAGCACTCCAGGAGATGGTGAACGATAGGGAAGTCTGGCAAGCTGCAGTCCATGCAGTTAACAAAGAGTCAGACATAACTTTGTGACTGAACAACAGCAACAAAAAATGAAAAGAAAGTAAAATGGAAAGGGTTAATCACTGAGTCATGTCTGACTCTTTGTGAGTCTATGAACTGCAGCCCGCCAGGCTCCTGTGTCCATGGAATTTTCCAGGCAAGAATACTAGAGTGTGTAACCATTCCCTTCTCCAGAGGATCTTCCCAACCCAGGGACTGCGCCTGGGTCTCCTGCATTGCAGGCAGATTCTTCACTGTCTGAGCCCCCAGGGAAGCCATCAGATGAGACAATGCTAATAAATCTTTCTTATTTCAGTTATGAAAAGCTAAGATTTTTCTTTCAAGGAGGTATTATGCAATACTGAGATCATTCCTTGAAGGCAATAGGAGAGTCCCATTTTAGAAGAAATTTACAAACAGATTTATTTTTCTTTATTTTAAATATAATTATTAGAACAAAATAGACTAGGGAGAAAGTATTTTCCTCTAATTTCTTTAATAAATCATTATTAGAACCAAGGCAGCAAACAAAGAGTTAAATTGTCTTGAATTTTACTTCTAGCTTTTCAACAATTTCTATCTACCATATAAAATGTCAAATTTTGTTTGGAAGATAAAAAAATTTTAGCTTGTGTGTGTGTGTGTATACACACACATGTATATCTATACTGATTCAAAAATATCAATGAGTTCCTTATCAATAGTGCCAATCTTGTCTACAGAAAATCATGGTGACTGCCTTAAGATCACCTGAATGGAAGGTTAGTTAATAGAATAATAAGTTGAGTATAACAAGAGAAATCTGAAGCCAGTTCCACAACTAAGTGGCTGCTTAAGATGATTTTTAAATGATACTATAATGGAATGAGATGAAGTATGTGAAAATACTTTAATAAAGGCGGAAAGATCAAGTAAATGTACAGATATATTGTGTATATATAGGCATTTGGCTTTCGGCTACTTATTCTATTCAAGGGCTTCAGCTTAAATAACTTGAAATCATGTGCTTCTGAAAGAAAGACCATTTTTATTTCATTTAGCAATCCTTCATACCACACATGACAAAGATACAGGACCCAAAAAGGAAAAGCAGAAAAGTTATTGTTATCACATCTCAGCACAAGCAACTAAAAAGAACTTTACTATTATTTAGAAAGACATAATATAATATACAATGCTATTTTTGTTTCTCAAAAAAAATGCCTGGGTTTTTGTAGATAGCACAGTGTTTCTCAAAAGTTACTGTAAAACTATTCACTTTAGTATAATAAACTTGACAAAATACCTGGCATACAGTAGATAACAAAAAAATCATATGCTGAAGGAATGCCCTTGGCCTTATTCAACTTTATTAAAAATACCTACCTTTTCCTCCAGTTTCTTCTTCTCATCACTAAATTGGCTTATTCTTTGTTTGAGAAACTGATTGAGCTGTAAAACTTCTTTCTCAGTAGATGCAAGCTTTTGCTCAAGTTCCTCGTGCTGGGAATGGGATGCTGACTGGTCTGAAAATGGAGTCTGGAGGGAGGTGTTCTCATATTGTGGCTATACAGAAAGAGAAACACACAGGCAAGGCTTTAAAAGTTTACTTGTCCTGAACCAATGGAAAGAAACTGGAAATGAGGGACAGGACAAAGAGCACACACAGCCTTTAATGACAGACCTCAGCATAAATCCCAGCTCTCCTGATTCCCAGTTATGTGCCATGATCAATTCAAATTACCTACCAGGGCCAAGTGACATGAAGTTCCTAGCACAAGGCAGAAGCTAAATGAAACATAGTTATTATTTGGTTAAAAGGCATAATTAGAATGTAAAAAGTACATTATAAAGAAGTAAAAGTTCTGGGGAAATAAAAACTAAAGAAGTCTTTTCTCACAAGTGGTCATTTTTAGCAAACAGGTAAATGAGACATCCCTAGTAAAGTTAATACATACCAATAAATACATATCAATAAGTATTAACAGAGTGCTTCCCCTAACCAGAAAGTAAGGCTCATGAAATCAGGAATTTTTGTCCATCTTAATTGTTATTTTATCCCTATTTCATAGAGCAGGGACTGGGCACAAGATGAGTTCAAAAATAATTGCTAAATGAACAAATGTATTATTCCCTTCATGAGCAAGGCTTTGAAGGAGAGTCACACAAGAGCTGAAAGAGAGAAGATAAAGGCAAATGATATATCTGATAAGAGGTTAACATCCAAAATACACAAAGAACTCATACAACTCAACATCAAGGGGAAAAAAAAAGAAAAAACCAATTAAAAAATGGACAGAGGACCTGAAAAAGATTTTTTCAAAGAACACACACAGATGGCCAACAGGTATGTGAAAAGATGCTCAACATCACTAATTGTTGGGGAAATGCAAATCAAAGCCACAGTGAGATACGACCTCATACCTGTCAGAATGGCTATCATCAGAAAGACAACAAGTAACAAGTGCTGGCCTTTCTTCTTCAATTTTTAATAAAAGGAAGAAGGGTCTTTCACATTTGGGTTTTGTTCCATGCAAGTTAACTACAGGTTGAAATTTTGGTATAAGATATTATAAGTACAAACCACTCTTTGGTTCTAGTAATTCTACTACTGAAACAACTGAGGAAGTTTGAATTTAGGACAAAGACCTGATTCTCATTTTCCACCTATGAGACTTAGCAATGTCTAGTTCTCAGGTCATTTTGATGGTAAGGTCATTCAAAGTTTTTAATAGGCAAATATAATTTACTTCTCAAGAGTTACGTTTTTAATCTATAAACTAATTTAAAAGTTATTTTATTTCAAAAATATTCTTTTTAAACCTAGAATAAACAGAATATTAAAAGCATAATTTCCTTTGTTAAATATACTAAGGAGTTAGGATGAACAAGTTATGGACCCAAAAAATGTGCAAATACAAAATGCTGTGCATAAAAAGTAATGTTTATAAATCCAAGGAAAAAATTCCTTTGCTGCTCTTCACAGAAATAGAATAAACAACCCCCTAAAGTATGTGTGGAACCAGAAAAGGCCCTGTACAGCCAAAGCAATACTGAGAAAAAGAAGAAAACCAGAAGCATCACACTTCTAGATCCCAAATTGCCCTACAAATCACAGCAATAAAACTGGTACTAGCATTGACACATTGACCACTGAAGCTGAATGGAGAGCCCACAGTTAAACTCTGAAATACAATGTCAACGAGTATTTAACACGGAGCCAAGAATACCCAGTGGGTATGGTGCTGGGAAAGGTGTAGAAACACATGCAGAACAATGAAAGCAGACCCCTACATCACATGACTCACAAAAATTAACATAAGACCAGACACCATAAAACTCCCAGAGGAAAGCATAGGGAAGAAGTCATGGATGTTTGTCTCGGCAATGACTTTTTTCTTACATAATGCCAAAAGGACAAACAACAAAAGCAAAAATCAACGAATGAGACTAATCAAACTAAAAAAGAACAGTAAAAGAAACAATTAACAAAATGAAAAGACAACCTGTTGAATGGGAGAACATTTTACAAACCCCATGTCAGATAAGGGGTTAAAATCCAAAATAGTAAAAACTCATTCAACTTAACAAAAGACAACCTGGTTGAAAAATAGGCAGAAGAACTAAACAGACATATTTCCAAAGAGAAAATCAAAATGGCCAACAGACACATGAAAAAATGCTCAACATCACATCAGGGAATGCTAATCATCAGAGAAATTCAAATCAAAATCAAAATAATATCTTACCTCCCACCTGTTAGAATGGTTATCATAAAGAAGACAAGAGATAAGGGGTGCTGGTAAGGATGTGGTGGGAAGGGGACCTCTTAAACACGGTTGGTGGGAGTATAAATTAGCATGGCCATTATAGAAAACAATATGATGGTTCCTCAAAAATATAAAAAAACAAATCTACCATAGGATCCAGCAATTTCATCTCTGGATACATACCCAGAAGAAAACATGATTTCTACAAGATATATGCACTTCCATAGTTATCGCAACATTATTTACAACAGCCAAGATAAGGAAATAATACCAATGTCCATCAACGTATGAATGGATAAAAGATGTAATACACAATGGAGTTTATTCAGCCATGAGAAAGGAGGCTTTCTTCACACATACATAGATCTTGAGCACATTATGCTAAGTGAGATAAATCAGATAAAGAAAAGCAAGTACTGCATGATACCACTTACATGTGGAATCTAAATAAATTAAACCTATAATAAAGGGAGAGAACCTTCTTATCAGGGATCACGGAAAGGGGTGGAGCACCCACAGAGGATAAGAGTGTGGTGTTTCAGGGTAAAATTTCAACAAGCAGTAAATATGCCACAAGTAGTTAATGCACAGGGTAATGAATACAGACAGTAATATTGTACTACAATTATGTAATGTGATAAATACCACTAAAATAGCAATCATATCATACAAATGTATCAAAGCAACATGCCATACACCTTAAACACACACTGTGTGTGTGTGATGAGTCACTCAGTCGTGTCTGACTCTTCTGTGACACCATGGACCGCAGCCCCAGGCTCCTCCTTCATGGGAATTCTCCAGGCAAGAATACTGGAGTGGGTACCCAGTCCCTTCTTCAAGGGATGTTCCAGACCCAGGGGTGAAACTCAGATCTCCTGCATTGCAGGTGAATTCTTTACCCTCTGAGCCGCAAGGGAAGCCCAAACTCATTCGATATTACATGTCAAATTTGTTCAATAAAATATAAAGAAAAATAAAAGATTCCTTCACTAAGGAGAATTTTATTATCATATTAGTTGTTACTTCTAAACCTTTGCCATTTTATTCACTCTCTGTATCAATCTACCGGAAAAAAATGTATATATTTCTTGTATCCATTTAGTACTGGAAGGGGTTCCTTGCATTCTCTTTTATTAATTGCACTTACCTTTTTTTAAAAAGATTTTTTTGATGTACACCATTGTTAAAGTGTTTACTGAATTTGTTACATTGCTTCTGTTCTATGTTTTTTGGGGTTTTTTTTCACCACAAGTCATGTGGGATCTTAGATCTGACCAGGAATTGAACCAGCATTGGAAGGTGAAGTCTTTAACCACTGGACTGCCAGGGGAGTCTCACACTTACCCTTTAAAATGAATTTCTCAACAATATTTTAATTCCCCCACATAATTTAAAATTCTTAAAATATTTTTAGCAACCCCATTTTCCTTGTATTTCTATCTGTCCTTGCAGACTGACTTAGAGAGCCCTCTACTGGTCTGATGCTGTGTCAAAAAACATTTTCTTTAGCTTGCAGACAGTAAGTTTTACGTTTTTTGGTAACATAATAATAATTGTATAATTCCAGTAAAACCTTTATTCAGAATAATGAAGTTATAAGGAGAAACTGCATGGTTCTATTAAAATACCCTTATCAAAGCAAATTATACTACTTAAGTAATACAGAAATACCACTTTCAAATAACTGAACACTATTAATCTCAGTATGATAGAGACTTGCTGTCATGTGGTAGAACTTTTAGATGACATCACATAACAAGGTATTTGATATATTAGTAACTGAAGTATGATAAACAAGCTGGAATCTCCATGTTAAGTGCCTCTGCATCAAATAAGTCTGTTATTTGGTCTTTATTTATCATGTCCTGATTTTAATATAATAATGCCTTTAATAAAACTGCAAGTTTGAAAATATAATGGAGGAAAAAATTACACTTAAATTGATTTAATTCTAAGAATAAAGATATAAACGGAAATGACCAAATAGAAGTACATACTACCATAAACTATTTTGCCAATAGTATTCATGTTCAAATAAATGATGCAAAAATGTTCACAGCAGTTTGTTCACTACAGATAAAATATGGAATCTAGCCAAGTGTCCACTGAAAGATGAGTAGAAAAGTGAAAGTGGTAGACATCCAATGGGATATTATTCGGCCTTAACAAGGAAGGAAATTCTGACACATGCTACAATATGGATGAACCTTGAGGATATTATGCTAAGTGAAACATGCCAGTCACAAAAAGACAAATACTATATAATTCCATTTAACATGAGATACCTGGAGTAATTAAAAATTACAGAGACAGAAGGTAGAATGGTAGTTGCCATGGGTCAGGGAGTGAAATGGGGAGTTACTGCTTAATGAGCAGTTTCACTTTTTTAAGATTATGCATAGTAGCCCCAAATTAGAAACAACCCAAATTTTGACAAGCAGAGACAGGTTGAATAAATTATGCTGTTTCCATAAAATGGGAAATCAAGCAGCTGTAAAAGCAAAAAGGGATGCTGCCTAGGTAATGATATGCAAATAGTCATTGTATTTTATGTAATTTTACATAATAAGAAGAAAAAAGTAGTATGTTGAATATTTTATATATTTTGATACCTTTTGTGTAGGATAAAATAAATTTATCTGTGAGTTGTAATAAATATCAACTCTGGAAGGCTATACTAGAAACTGATAATCGTGGTTCCTGTTATTGCAGGAAAAGCACGTGAACCGGACAGATGAAAAACAGCGCTGGAACATCTTTTACTACACACATAAATATGAATCATAGGAACAGATTATTAATCCCAAAAAGGTCCTAATCACACAGTTTGTTTGATGCATTTTATAATACTAGTAAAACAACAACTACAAAATCCTTTGTGATCTTACCTGCAAACCAGCCCCGTAAGAATCCTCACAATTCACATAATGTCCTAGCATGGCATGCTGTGCTCGTAACTCATTATCCCTTATTCTTTCATGCAGGTGGGTGATCTGTTGCTTCTGCCTGCAAAACATAAGTTGGGGTCACATTACAAAAAACATACTTTTCTAAGCTGATCTAATTAAAAGCAGAATTTTCAGTATTCTAATGTGGCATCAAGAGTTAGAAGTATGCTCCCTCTTAAAATTCATAATAAGAAATCTGTTTAAACCGCAGTACCATGAGATATGTTAAATATAGAAAAAAGTTTATACTGAGTACTTCTGGTTACTTAAAAGAACATAATCTTTTGTAGAATACTCTTTCTAGGTTTCAACAAAGTCATGCTTTTCTTTCTTTCTTCTTGCTGCCTAATATACAAACTGTTTCATTCTCAGTCTGGAATGCCTTTATCTTAATATCATTATTTCCGTTCATCCAAATTCTTTTCAACACACAATACCAATTGAAACATCTGAAAAAACTCATTTTAAGGAATGAGAAGTATTTTTATAAATATCATGTAGTTCAATTGTTGTACTCTGCCTGCACCTTATCTACAATATCCAGGTTGCATGATCTACACATAAACATCACCAAGGATGGAGAACTCACATGGTGGCAGATTTGCATCTCTTGATAGTGCTGAAATTTCACTGTAATGTAACCTCATGCTGGACCCAGACACGCTGAAGTTCAAATATTTCCGTAGTGGATCATAACTTAATCAAATTGTATAACTTTTGTGAATGTTTCCTAAAACATTTGAAAACTGTTCATGTGTCAGGCAACATGCTAAGAGTTTTATATGTATTATCATTAATCTTCAAAAATTTAATAACAAGACTAATAATGAGGTTATAAGAGATAGAGAAGGAAGATAGACTGAAATAAAAGAAGAGGTGACCAAAGGTATAGGGTGGAAAGAGGAAGACCAGTAAAATTTTATTATTTCAATTTGTTTATAGTATACTATAAACTATTAAGTATGTGATAACATGTCTAAAAAAAGTAGTATCTTAATTTAAAAATATTTTATTACTAAAAAATGCTATCATGTGAGTCTTCAGCAATGTATATGTTTCACACTAATTACATGTGGAAGTAAAATCACATTATAATTTTGCTAGGTAAATTTTAAAATCAGTGGGGAATTCTTTGGTATAGTGTGGACATATTAAATGTCCTTCTAACTCACCTGCTTTATAACCTGGGATTTATGATCAGATTCCTAAAGCAAGGCATATGTGACATGTCAGGTTATTGAAAGTTATTAAAACTCCAATTTCACATATATGAGCAATTAATAGATGAGATTTTGCTCATAGCAATTTACAGTACACCTTTCATTTTGTGATAGATCCCATAATGCAAAATGGGGTATTTATTTATTATATTTATAGCATATTTATTCTCCATCACAAGTGTTGAATTAAGATTTGATTATTTTTATCAGTTTGAGTATTTAATTCAGTTTTTAATAGTGTGTTTCTAAGTTATTTTGGTTGTTTATACCTAGATATATTTATTGTTCAGTCACTCAGTCATGTCCAGCTCTTCATGACCCCACAGACTGCAGCATGCCAGGCCGCCCTATCCTCATCATCTCCTGGAGCCTGCTCAAACTCATGTCTGTTGAATCGGTGATGCAATCCAACCACCTCGTCCTCTGTCGTCCCCTCCTCTGGCCTTCAATCTTTCCCATCAGGGTCTTTTCTAAAGAGCAGGCTCTTCGAATCAGGTGGCCAAAGTATGGGAGTTTCAGCTTCAGCATCAGTCCTTCGAATGAATATTCAGGACTGATTTCCTTTAGGATTGACTGACTGGATCTCCCTGCAGTCCAAGGGACTCTCAAGAGTCTTCTCCTACATCACAGTTCAAAAGTGTCAATTCTTCGGCGCTCAACCTGCTTTATGGTCCAATGCTCACATCCATACATGACTACTGGAAAAACCACAGCTTTGACTAGACAGACCTTTGTCAGCAAAGTAATGTCTCTGCTTTTTAATATGCTGTCTAGGTTGGTCATAACTTTTCTTCCATGGAGCAAGTCTTTTAATATCATGGCTGCAGTCAGAATCTACAGTGATTTTGGAGCCTGAGAAAATAGTCTCTCACTGTTTTCGTTATTTCCCCATCTATTTGCCATGAAGTGATGGGACTGGATGGCATGATCTTGGTTTTTTGAATGTTGAGATTTAGAACAACTTTTTCACTCTCCTCTTTCACCTTCATTAAGAGGCCCTTTAGTTCCTCTTCGCTTTCTGTCGTAAGGGTGGTGTCATCTGCGTATCTGAGGTTATTTTGATATTTCTCCTGGCAATCTTGATTCCAGCTTGTGCTTCATCCAGCCCGGCATTTCCTATGATATACTCTACATATAAGTTAAATAAGCAGGGTGACAATATACAGCCTGACATACTCCTTTCCCAATTTGTAACAAGTCTGTTCTCCCATGAATAGTTCTAACTGTAGTTTTTTGACCTGCATAGAGGTTTCTCAGGAGGCAGGTCAGGTGGTCTGGTATTCCCCTCTCTTTAAGAATTTTCCACAGTTTGTTGTGAGCCACACAAAGACTTTAGTGTAGTCAATGAAGCAGAAATAGATGTCTTTCTGGAATTCTCTTGCTTTTTCTATGATTCAGTAGATGTTGGCAATTTGATCTCTGGTTCCTCTGCCTTTTCTAAATCCAGCTTGAACATCTGGAAGTTCTCAGTTTATGTACTGTTGAAGTCTAGCTTGGAGAATTTTGAGCATTACTTTGCTAGCGTGTGAAAGGAGTGCAATTGTGAGGTAGTTTGAACATTCTTTGGCACTGTCTTTCTTTGAGATTGGAATGAAAACTAACCTTTTCCAGTCCTGTGGCCACTGCTGAGTTTTCCAAATTTGCTGGCATATTGAGTGCAGCACTATCACAGCATCATCTTTTAGGATTTGAAATAGCTCAGCTGGAATTCCATCACCTCCATTAGCTTTGTTCGCAGTGATGATTCCTAAGGCCCACTTGACTTCACACTCCAAGGTGTCTGGTTCTAGGTGAGTGATCACACCATCATGGTTATCTGGGTCATTAAGATCAGGAAGAAGGCAAGGACGTCCTGCCACCCGCTGCCTTCAGCACTGCCCCTAAAGCCCCAGCTAGTGAAGACATGAGTGCAAAGTTCTGCAGCATCACACTGAGGTACAGGCATCTCTGAGCCTCACCCAGGAGCCTCCACTCCTCCCAGGAGTACGCAGCAACATCTTCAAAGCTCATACTGTTCCTGCGGTGGGTCCCTTAGCGCCGCCACTGCCATCAGACACTAGCCAGAGTAGGCCGGGAGCAGCCAGGGAATGGGACACATAGGTTCCGACCAGGGCCTGGCGTAGGGCACCCGGGGCGGCGATGGGAAACTCAGAGCCACCTCTTTGGCACGTGGACTGTACCTCCTCTCATGCCTTTTAGGTCTCATCACAGGGTCCCAAGCCAGTGCTCCCGAACCAGAACAGACACACTGGCAGTTTAAAAAATCCTAGGTATATAGCATCGTAAAATCAACTTCTAAATCTATTTCGTTTTAAGGCCAACTGTTATACTGTGTGAAATTCCATTTGGACACCAAGCACCATAACTTAGCACTGGACTTCACAACTCTTAGGGCGGAATCCCCAGCAAGAAAGCGTCACTTCAGATGCCAGACAAGTGGAATCCCAGGTCACCCACACTTCTAGCCAACTGGCTACAAATCTGGTGAGTTCCCAAAATTTTTATTATAGAATTTCATTGCATGGGCATGACCGATTAAATCACCAGCTGTGTGACTGAACTCAATCTCCGGTCCCCTCCTCTCCCTGGAAGGCTGAACTAGCTCCAAGACCCAACCCTCTGACCACAGGGTTGGTTTCTCTGGTGAACAGCCCAGGTCCTGGAGCAGATATCCAGGGCTCAAGAATCACCTCGTTACCATAAATGCAGGTGTGTTCTAGGGCTCATGAATAAAAAACACCTGTATATTGTCACCCTGCTTGTTTAACTTATATGCAGAGTATACCATGAGAAACGCTGGGCTGGATGAAGCACATGCTGGAATCAAGATTGCTGGAAGAAATATCAATAACCTCAGATATGCAGATGATACCATTCTTACCGCAGAAAGTAAAGCACTAAAGAGCCTCTTGAGGAAAGTGAAGGAGGAGAGTGAAAAAGTTGGCTTAAAGCTCAACATTCAGAAAACTAAGATAATGGCATCTGATCCCATCACTTCATGGCAAATAGATAGGGAAACAGTGGCTGACTTTATTTTTTGGGGCTCCAAAATCACTGCAGACGGTGATTGCAGCCATGAAATTAAAAGATGCTTACTCCTTGGAAGGAAAGTTATGACCAACCTAGACAGCATATTAAAAAGCAGAGACATTACTTTGTCAACAAAGGTCCATCTATTCAAGGCTATGGTTTCTGCAGTAGTCATGTACGGATGTGAAAGTTGGACTATAAAGGAAGCTGAGCGCCAAAGAATTGATGCTTTTGAACTGTGGTGTTGGAGAAGACTCTTGAGAGCCCCTTGGACTGCAAGGAGATCCAACCAATCCATCCTGAAGGAGATCAGTCCTGAGTGTCACTGGAATGACTGATGTTGAAGCTGAAACTCCAATACTTTGACCACCTGATGTGAAGAGCTGAGTCATTTGAAAAGACCCTGATGCTGGGAAAGATTGAGGGCAGGAGGAGAAGGGGACGACAGAGGATGAGATGGTTGGATGGCATCACCTACTCAATGGAGATGAGTTTGAATAGACTCTGGGAGTTGGTGATGGACAGGGAGGCCTGGTGTGCTGTGGTCCATGGGGTTCTCGAAGAGTGGGACATGACTGAGTGACTGAACTGAACTGTACTGATTGATTTAGTCTCCTTCCCAAGAACGAGAAACAGTGGCTAGTCAGATTTCTTAATATCGGACAAAATTTTAAGATTTGTAGGTACTATATTGGAAATCGCAAGTAATGACAGAATGAGATTCTCCTCTGTGCCAACAGTATCATTTACAAATAGCATTAACTCAGCTGTCACCACTGAGCATAGTGGGTTTCCTCTCTGAATCAGG